TATGGATGACTGTCTGACCTTTATGAATCTATTTGTATAAATAGACCTAAAGGTAGGGGGCGTTCTTATATGATATTATGATATTTATATATATGTTATATATACTAATACGTATAATTACTAATTCAAAGTTTTTTCTGTAGATCTTTTACCGATCACTTTCACTTGGCATTCTAATTTGGTAGCTACTTCCCCTTTTATGAGGCATAAGTATACAGGAACTAGACTTTTATTCACGCTTTGTGTTAGATGCATTCTAAACTAGCATTACGCATGCTTGCTTATGTTTGAATAGTGTTAGACTTAGTTTTACTGTTAACAACGTTCACATCTACGCTTCATACTGAAGATAGGCATTTGTTAGATATACAGTATATAATATACAAGCGTATTAGATTTGGCTAGCTATGTTGTTAACAATGTTCACATCTACAGTCAGCAGCTGGTTTGTGGTTATAGCCATGGTTATGTGATCGAAGTCTGTCATTTAATGTGAGAGCTGATGCTGAAATCCAGCTGAAGCTGAAACTAACCAATGGGATTAGAGAATAAAATCTGATCAACCAATGAAAGGTCATTGTTTCAGCTTCAGCCGGATTTCAGCATCAGCTGTGACATTTTAATTTCCGGTTTTGACCATTAAAATCCGTTTCTATCTTCTCACACGTTTCAAAAATGAAAAAGTATTCATTGTAATTTAGAGGGATAATAAGTGAATAACATATTATCGAAGATAAGTATAACAATATTATTTGAAAAATGTGTCTAAAGTTGGTTGTTTTTTCTCTTCCTGAACTTTTAAGGCAAGCATGTCGGATTAGCATTCTCAGTTTTGCCATAAAACTGGCATCTATATCTTCTTTGAAATGTCTTCAAGTGCTGCCCTCCCCTGTTGTGCAGACATGGGAGTGGGACAGGTTCCTCATCACTTTCATCGTTATCAACTGTGTTGTTACGATATCACTAATTGGCCTTCCACTGTAGATTTGTCAATGTTGATGTATTGTATAGCTGGTAGCTTCTGCACATTTGCAATATTCATATGATTGATGAGTTATTGTACTTCAGTTAGCAGTTCTTCTCCAATTGCTTGTATTTCTCCATTCCCGTGTGCTGCCAACAGTTTCGAATTGTACAGCTGTCACCGCTTCCCATCACTCGCATCTTTAAGTGATATCATCGACACTGCTGTCGATGAGAACAATTTTTGATAGTGCGTTTTGAAAGCCGCAATGATCCCAGCATCTAACGTACGGCTGTAGCTGTGAAGTGGAAGGTATTTGACTATAAACATTAGACAATGCGGTTGCATTGTCAATTAGTAATAAAATGGGTTTTTTTCTTCCGTATTTCTCTGTTCAGTAAACTTAGCCATTCGTTGAAGATATCTGTGCGCATCCATGCCTTTGAGTTGTGATAGAAAGAAAATTTATATTAATTTGGCGAAAGCATTGTGGACGTGCATTTTTCCCGTTAGCAAGCGGCTTCAATCCAGTTGGGTGCAAACGAGGAGGACTGTAATTCTGGTTTTATCTCGTTTAGTGCCGTGAGTTTTTCCTGTTGCAAGTGTCATGTTCGGTGGCATTCTAAAAAACAAGGATGTTTCATCAGCATTATAAACATCATCTAAAGTTATACTTGCCAATTATTCTACGCAGGCGACCTCTTTCTTCCGGTAATATTAATAATGGTACGCTATTTGCTTCGCCTTGCAACCTAACTCGACGCAAATTGTTTCGCTTTTTGAGACCCTCCAGCCATCCGTCTGATAGCAAATTCGAGTGTTTTTACTAAATTATGTAATTATATAAAGGTAATACAGTATCATATGTATTATTATATCAATAATCGTGTATTGGTTAATTCACGCACAGTAGATATGTATCATATTGCTCCAGTTTTATCGGCATTATAGATATCTGCCAGTTCATACAGAGTTCTTGAAGTTTAACTCTTTCACCAGGCAAAGATTCTAACGGCCCGCTTGAGGCTTCTCCATGAAGCTTATACCGACAACGTAGAGAGTTCCGTTTCTTAAAACTTGCAACCCATTTATTTATTCGAAAACTTTATCTCACATTGAGATGCTGCGACCTTTTAATTTCACTAACTCATCCATCAGAACCAACCAGCTGCTGTAACTTGACTCACCCAAAGATTCAATGCATGCCATTTCGAGTTTTGGGTATTTTAAATGTCGGTTAGTATAGCGATTTTGCATTGCAAAATTGTCTTCGAGAAACAGATACTAATACTACTCTTTTTTTTTAGGATTTTAGAAATCGTTGACCGGTCGAGTTTTAACAGGATATCTTAGAAATTTATTGATGTTTCGCTAACGGGTTCGCAAATTTCTTACGCTGAGCATTATTGACACGACACCACCTTTTTTTTTTTTTTTGTTAAAAGGGTTGGCGACACATTGCGAATAAGTAACTAGATAGTCATGTTATAGATTGGATTATATCGAGAGTGACATATCGAGGCGCGACTGTATTTGTAAAATCTTGCCGTTGATGTGGTTTGCAAGAAGTGCACCTGTTTGTATAGGCATAATAATAATGCTTTTTTGTTTCTAAAGAAATCGCCTTTCGCTTACGAGCATCAGTTTATGGCATTTTGGTAGGAATACAGTAAATAGTTGGTTTCTTTTTTCCAACTTCAGAAATGTGCGTTTTACCAAATTAAATAAAGACACGTGATCCGATGTTAGTTATATTCTATAAAACGGTTTTGGCAATAAACTACTAGTCAGATAGTGACTATAACCGGAGGAACTATAGACAGGGTTGACTATTTATCATCCTAATGAACTGAGAAGGCAATTCAAGGATTTACTAGGTTTAACTATACCCATATAAAATTAAACATCAACCTCATTACTACAGTATTGAGGAGATTAAGCAAATCCGCCAGAATAACTTATGCTGTGTACTCATAACACACCCATTCACTCAATTAGTTAATCAATATGCTGTTGACAAATTCTTATGCATAATGAATATTGAGTAGATGCCGAATAATCTAATAATAAACTAATATAAGCAAATCTAGGGCATATCTAAGCTGCAGAACGTTTTCAAATAGGTAATTACTAAATGGAATTACTGATGAGTTTTGCACGAATGGACACATACTTATTGCTTGCCTAAATATAAATTAAGTTGCAGTTAGGGGAAACTATTGTATAATAATAGTCGCTGTTTATAAATATAGAACGTTAAAAAGCTTATTCTGTATGCTGGATTACCATCTGATTTATTGCCTAGTCAGACAATGGTATCGTTGATGCAGACTTTATGCGTAAGTTTCTATAACAAACCACACTGTTAACAAGTTTACCTTGACATCATAATAATGCTAGGGCACTATTGTTATCAATGTCATCGTTATTATCATTGCGCGTATGTACTACAAACTCCGTAGGCATATTGACAATAACTTTGTCGGATATTGTTGCAAATTCTCCGACAGCAATTCATAATATCACGTCATATGACACGCAAATAGCGTCTATATATACACCCAGACGCTACTCTCTGCTGCACAAAAATTTCTCTTCTCCTCCTTCAAAGCGCAAATAAAACATCACTTAAATATACAACGAACGAACGAACGAACATTTGCCAATACAGCATCACTCAAATACACAGCGAACAAACGTTTGGCGACACTCCATATTCTACACATACAACAGTTTGCTACAGCTCACAAACAAGTCTTGTAACGACACGGTTTATTGACCACAGAACTCGATAAAAGAGTTCAAACACGCGTCTACTTATATATATTCAGACGCTACTCATGTATCGCTTTACAACCTCTCCTCCTCTAAAGCATAAATCCAATGTTTATCCAATGTTTAATATGCAACGAACAGTTTTTTGTCGTCACACCATATTGCGTGCGTACGACAATTTGCTACAATCCACAAACAAGTCCTCAAAAAACTCAAACAACGAACGTTTAACATTCGACAACGACACGATTTGTCGACCACATAACATACAAAAGAACTCACACAAGAGCGACCCTCCACATTAAACGTGCGGTACATAAATCTGCTTTTCCATTATTTACGTGTATCGCGTTGAGGAGAATAATAATGCATTAAAAAAGACTGTTATTGTACGTACGCTTAAATAATTGCCATGAGATAACCAACTAATTATTTTGATATCTATTATATTATTAGAAGTTACAACGAATAGTTCCTCGATTTCGAAAGGCTTTCCGAGACAATGCATAAACAAAATAATAAACTTCATTATTACCTCAAAGTGGTTTATTTGAACCTTTTTTACGACAATGATCTTAACCTTCAGAGACGTCAGTTATTAGTTGAAGGTGGATGGAAAGTAGATAAAAACGCACGATTAGATACCGAGAAAATATTTCGTATCTTTAACTATGCCAAAGTGACTTTACATACATAATATTCCAACAATCTACAGCTGGATACAAGAATCCTACTGTAGATGACAACAACACTGACAGGAAGAAACTACCATCACATGTGATGTGATCTCTGTGCTTCCCTAATCGTCGTATATAGTATAATGAGATTATTGTAATTGATAATAGTAGTAATACTAATTATAACTTGCAGTTATAAAATTTATTAACCAGCAAAATAATATCAGAATAGGCGAGAAAAAAGAGGGAAGAATTAAAACATTAATAGTGTACATACATGTCAAGTTATTGACTTTTACAATTAAATTCACTTTGCACTTACTTGGAAACTGAGTAATTGTTCCCGTCCTTGAAGCTTTTGCTCATTTCACATACACGCATACTAATAAATATTTAGTGGTTTATGACCAAGAAGTTGAAAAAGCGAACCAGTTCTTGCTAACGGATCCCGCAATACATTGTTTTAATAATAGTGATGTGATCACATTTTAGTTCTTAGATTTCCCACTTGCTCGCTCCGATCTGTTTCTAATAAATTACAAGCGTTGCCTGTTTGCCGTATTATTAAACCGAGTGTATTCAAAATGTCTACCCGCGTTAACCCTAGCTCTAGCTCTAGTATTAGCTCTAAAATTTCTTTATCAGATTCCAACTACGCCGTCTCATTTGAGCGCGCAATAATCACGGTGAGATCTTTATCGATAATATGTTAGCGGAAATGATCGAAAATATGTACACTACAGATATTTTTGCAGACGAAGACATGAGAGGTGATTTGGATTGGAATACATTGTTAGGAAAGGTAGTAGAAAATGTTTTGGCCATATTATGGATTGACAATGGCCCAGTAACTATGTTAACTACAATTCATAATATTGGTAAAGAATGGACTGTGACACATGAGCATCATAGACCAAGAAAAACTAGTTCTAATGCAAATACTGTTTATCAAGTCTTTGGGAATCTTTCCAGGAAAGCATTAGAGATTCCCAAGATTATTGATGACTATAATCAGTATATGGGTATTGCTGTAGTGTGGACATTGCAGACCAACTGAGAGGATACAATTGCCAGTTAACAGTCTGCAGAACATGGTTTCCCTTGTTTTTCTGGTTATTAGATACTACACTTGTTAATTGTTTAAACTTTATTGTAAGGTCACTGACCAGAAAGTTGCAAGCAAAGAATTTAGACTTGATCTGGCATGGGATCTGATAAACAGCACTGTGGAAGATGTGAGTAAAAGAATCACTAGATCAGCTTGTCTAACATTAAAGACACATATCTCAGTCCTTCTAAGAAATTTCAATATTGCTGAGACATATAATTTGCCTGCAACATGTTTAATTCCTGGAGGACATTTTATGGAGTGGAGAGAAACAAGGAAATCATGTGTGTATTGTAGATATCTATCTAAGCAAGGTAAGATTGAGATTGATCATAAAAATCCACCTCAAACTCAACTTTGGTGTATTAAATGTAATGTACCTCTTTGTTGCTCTAAAGCAAGACCCAATTGTTTTCAAGATTACCATACTAAAGCATAATAAAAGTTAATTTAGTGTTTAAATTTATCCAATTGTTGATTTAAATTATTATTATTATGTCTCTGATGATTATGCTATTTTTCTGAAAAAACAATGAAAAAATTGCTTGTTTTTAAACATAGACTGACTCACATAGAAACGTCAGCTTACTATAATCTTTGCCTTAATAGATTTGCAATAAATATGTCAATGATTTCTATTTAATAGAGGGGGGACTCTTGCATAGTATTGATTAGTAAAAAAATACAAAAATAGTACAAACTTTTGGCTAATGTCTTGATCACATGTACATTATCCCTCCTGGGTGCATCCATTTGCTGTAATGTCAAATATTAATTGTTACAATTGATGCTGAAACCATGACCTTTCATTAGTTGATCAGATTTTATTCTCTAATCCCATTGGTTAGTTTCAGCTTCAGCCAGATTTCAGCATCAACTCCCACACTTGCTTGCACTCTTACAAGGTAATCTTGCTCAACAGATATATTAATATTGCTAACTGAAGTATCTGCAAATAACCTGTAAGCTTAGCTATCTTAATGAGAATGGCATAGTGACATAGTCAAAAAGAGGGGGGGTCAAAAATTGCAGGCAAATTTGCCTGCAAATGACCAGTTTAAGGGATATCAATCTCATTGTCAGAATAAGTCTTGTCAGAACACACATGAGCATCAGTTTTAAAAATAAAAACATGTGATCACATGTTCATCTTTGACTAATCCACATTTCAGAATGTTTTGTGAATATCCATGTATCTCATTTTGTTGACTGATGACTTCCTGTTTAGATTGAATAAAGAGAGGAGGATCTGTAATCACAAATCCATCAGTGAATTTTGCACCTGCCTTGTTATGGAAGACAATACTGTCTGGATAGATATAATTTTTGACCCCCTTTTCAAAAGCTTTCCAATTATTGCTATCAATCTGACATGACAGAAAATTTTGGTGATCTGATCTGTCTGATTAGGAAAAGGTCAGAGAGTTGACATGCATTGCTTTTCAACCACAGATGGAATGCAATGATAGCAAGGGTAAACGATTCATTTTGACTGGGTGAGAGATTGTGGGGAGGGAAGTCCACCTTCTGCATCCAGAATGCCACTCTATTTGCTGCCTCCAACTGTTTCTCTGCAGACTCATTGGTTGACATTTTTGTTTGTGAGTTTTTGATGGAAAGATGTCCTGCATGTTATATTATACAGGGGAGTATCAAAAGTATTGCATGCTTTTATTTTAGCAACAAAAAAATTTTTTTATTAAGACAACAGTTAATTTTATTTTATATTCAGAATTAGTACTTTAGTATTTTGTATGTCCTCCATTAATTAGCAGCTCGCACCAAGTCATGATATACTTTTTTTGGGATCACTTCCCAAATATCTTTTACTACCTTTTTGAGTTCACCAACACTTGAAGGCTGAGGATTGTGTTTTTGAATTTCTACTTCAACTGCAGCCCACAAATTCTCAATTGGGTTGAGATTGGGACTTTGGGCAGGCCATTGGAGCACCTCTATATTTTGAGAATGAAGAAACTCTCATGCAATCTTCAATGTGTGAACTGGTGCATTGTCTTCCTGAAAAATGAAATTTTTTCTGGTTTGCTGGGAAAATGCTTTGAGTGTGGGAACTGCATAAGTGGAAAGTATCTCTTTGTATATGTTTCCAGTTACTGAACCTTTAAGTGGAACATGGGTCCTAATTTTAAAAAGGAAAAATACACCCAAAACATCCTTTGTGGAGAATGTTTTACTGTTGATGCAATGCAATCTTCATGAAATTTCTCTTCTGGCTTTCTCCACACTTTTCCCCAACCAGATTTTTGAAACTGTGAAAACATAGACTCATCTGACCAGACTATCTTTTTCCAATCTTCTAAAGTCCAGTGTCTTCTTTCTATTGCCCAAGCAAGTTGTTTGGATTTGTTGATTGCTGAAATTAAAGGTTTTTTCTGAGGAATACAAGAACATAAATTTTCCTTCTGAAGTGCTTGATGACAGATATTTTTTTGTTGATTTTAGCAGAATATATATTAGCAATTTCTGCTAGATTTTTTCGCCTTGTTTCCTTGTTTTTGAGAACCATAGCCTTTAGTCTTGCCTTTTTTGACTGTCGATCAAGCATGGTCAACCTGATCGTTTCTTTGAAGGTTCTCCTGATTCGTAAACTGCAAGATATCTTGTAATTGTCGTTCGATGACATCCTACAACTTTTGCGATTTCTGTATTATTGTGACCTAATTTTTTGGCTGCAATAATGCTTTCCTTTTGTGCAGAAGTTAAAGACCCATTGCGCGAAAAATTGAAAATGATAGAAAATTTCAAATCGCGTTTTTACGATCCGTAAAAGATTAAATCAAAACAATAAACAACAACCCATTTAAGTAATATATAGGCAAATATGGTATAAGAATCACATGGCCAGTTCCATATTAATAATTTTATTAAATCAGTTAAATTTCGACCGTGCAATACTTTTGATACCCCCCTGTAGTTAAGCTTGCGAACCCCAAGTGGATGCTTTAAACGATTTAATCAAGAAATACGGAAACAAGATTGGCATGATTTCTTTTGGATATGGGTATGTAGTAAGTGTAAACCTGGTTTGACTTTTTAATACACAGTGGCTCTCGATATAATGACCCTTCGCTAATATGATGTTGGTTAATATGATGCTTTTTCCCGGGCCCAACTCAGTTATAATAAAATTGGGCTCGATATAATAAAGATTACTTATAATCTCGCGATATAACGTTATAATGATGTTTTGTGCAATTTATATACACTGCCCTACCTTTAAATTATGGTATAAAAATATATGATTATATGTGGAGTACAGTTTTATAACAAGAATGTATATAATTTGCTGTTGATTTTTTTTTTTCAAAAAGCACAATTAATTAGCTTCAAACCCATATAAAAACAATTGTCGTTCACATAGTACGCATTGGCCGGAGAAATTTTTGAAAAAAAAAAACAAACAAACTATCATATGTTTTACTAGTAAAAAAAATATGAAATCCGGTAATTTATGGTAGGGAAGTGTAAATCATCACCATAATTGGTAATCATTTATGAACTTTCGATAATATGAACCTTTTGGTCCGGCCCGACGACTTCATCTTATAGAGAGCCACTGTGTACATAACTCTATTACTGTCTAAATTCGGCTGTGTTCACGTACAGTAGGTGCACGATTTTTAAATTTGGTGCCTGTGTTAGAAGCATTTTATAATATCAAAGTACAGTAAGTGGTCAATATAATAATTATTTATCACTGTTGATACAACCACTTAGCATCTTTATTTTCGTGATTTTAAGCATCGTATTTCTGAAGTTTATAACGGTAATTGCTTCCAACACTCTTTGTAGATTGTTTACAAACTTGGCATTTTACACGCATTTTATAATTTGTAAAAAAATTATCTTTTTTTTTGGTTACACACTGTAAATAAAATTATTGCACCAATAATCGAATTATTCTTTCGTGACTGGTCTCGTCTGCTTAACTACAGTTAGATATTAATCCAATTTCCGTAAGCTGGCCTAACGGTAATAGACGACGCTTCCATACAGCTACAACGATGCACAAGAATAGAACTATTATTAGAACAACAACTGATAATAATTCTTAAAAAGGACGATAAAAATATTCGACGCGTCTAATTAAGGAATCCTTATACCCGCTCTCAGCCGCACCTAGTGAATCAAAAACTGTAGACAATAAATTTAGTTGATTTCACTACTGATCATAATATTTATTTATTAAACTATCTCAACACACACTCTGACGATGGAATTTTTCCGAGCATTTTTATGTCACGAATTAATTTTGTGTTTCCTGTGAAACCGTGTTACTATTACACTAACATTTCGGATGCGGATATTTTTAAATTGCGAAAATCGATGACGTCGACGGCAATAATTCTAACATGGACCTTCTCTATAGTCACGTTGTCGGGAACAATGCAACTTCGTTGAAAATGTGTTTATAAGGCTATATCGAGAGTTTTTCTACAAGTTCAATGGTAAAACTGGTTCTCAAAAGTGGTGTGCTTATAAACTGGTTTTTATATGACGCGCTTATAGAGGTGACTATACAGCAGGTTGACTGTATTCAGTATCAATTCTTATTTGATATTTATTAATAAGATTTAACTTAATGTAATCCAATTTAATGTTATTTATATTAATGCTGACATTAAACAAAAAGCCTAAAAGATGAGGTTGAAAAAAGAAAGAAAGAAAGAAGCAGAAACAAACTTGTCAAACTCTTCGGTATTTATATAACTATCGTCAAATAAATTCCATCAAGCCCATTTACAGTATTATACAAACCCCTACAATAAATTATCGGATTACACAAAATATTACCATTAAAACATATGAAAAGTCTTTCTTTTCAAAAATCTCTCCTGCCCATGTATACTATGCAAATAACAATAGTTGTTGTATGATTTGAAGCTGATTGATTGTGTTTTTGAAAAAAATAGCAATACATTTTATATCTTCTTGTTATATAGCTGTATATAATTATGTATTTTATTGTAATTTAAAGACCGCTACTTCAACATGCTACAGCTTTATAGCAATAACGTATAAAACTTTATTGTTAATTTTTTCAAAACGTGCAATCAATTAGCTTTTAAAATCATACCAAAACTATTGTTATTTGCATAGTATACGTGGGAAGGCGAGATTTTTGAAAAGAAATACTTTTCGTATGTTTTACTAGTAATATTTTGTGTAATCCGGTAATTTATTGTCAGGGATGTGTAAGTAAATTAGCATGCTCTTAAAACCCGGTATCCTTTTTTTTTGTTTAAGAGCCGAAGACGACTCTAGGTTTTTGAATTCTAAAACATAACCAATCACGTCTTTTTATTCATACTATTAATACAACCATTGACAACTGTTGACAAGTACTGGAGCCAGAATTTTATAGGTACTAAAATGTAATTATTGTATAGGCGTGTTCTCATTTGCACTGGTCAATCCAAGGTCGTACGATTAAAAATTTAACTTAAGAGAGCAAAACGTGAAGTCAATTATTTTGAGCGTAGGAAAATTGCGCTTGTCATGAATGTACGTGCATGCTCTCCAAAAAAATGTTGAGAATGTAGTGTCCTAAGTTGACTTTACATTTGCTCTGGCAGAATTATACGGTATGGCTATCGCAAAGCACTTCTTCGCACTTTATTTTCCAATTTATTTAGCCAAATTCAGATTTACTTTGTTGAACATGGAATTTTTTAAAGAGGATGAAATTTTTGAGCAACTAGAATATCAAGCATAAATGTCTTCTTTATTTAGAGAATATATCGCCCGAATACTAGGAATCGGAATTTTTGGTCACTAGTTCACTGGCATGGGACAAGTCTTCCGCATTTGCCATTGACCTTTGAGGAATGACATCTATTAATGAATAAGTCGTTGATAAACTACTAAACAAGCATTCTTACCGAACGTGATCCATAGGATATTCTTTCCTGAGAAGATTTGCCAATACCTTCCCGGGACCAAAAGCAATAAAGCTGTCTATGTCACGTTCTTTACAATATTTAATACTTTTCTGCCATTGAACAGTCGCAGTAATTTGCTGAACCAATAACGAAGGTATCTCGGCGGTGGAAGTTATCTGGAATTACCCTTCGATTAGAAGGGGTCAAAAACTATTATGGGTACGTCTGTTTCGTAAACGAACTTACTGGTTTGGCCGTGACGTTGGATATTATCGGGACAATTGGTTGTCCGAATTTGGTTTCCCTAAGAGCGTCCGCCATTAGATCAGCGGCTGGCTGCATAAGGACACAGTGAAATGGAGCTCTAAACGTGCCGTAATATGCTATAAATATCAGTAAATGCATGCAAACTAAGTGTTGTCAATCGCTAGCGATCAATCGATAGTAGTAACCAATAATCGGCTACGAGTTGAATCAAAACAATCGATCAATCGATTGCAAGACAAATGACAGATTCATGATACTCATGCAATTCAGTAAGCTATCTTCCTATGCTTATCACCTTCACTTACGATACAGGAAGGTCAACAGCACGCGCAGCTATTTGCTTCGATTGCAAAATGCGTGATGCATCATCAACTCCACGGGTCGTTCCGCTGATCACTACCTGTACGTATCGTTACAATACTATTTTACATGAACAATAACCAAGCCATAAAAAATTCGTCTTCTGCGTTATTTAATACCTGAAAAGACTGAATTAACGATAATGGAAGTTAAATTAGACATATCTTTCATCACCATTACATAATGATTGGCTGCCAACAGAGAATACATACGCTATTAATATTGGCCAATTCTACCAACTCGCCTTCAGGTAAGTTGGCGCGTATTTCTTCCATTAATTCCTCAAGTTTATCTAGATTGTTTCCACTTACTACAAGGGCTGATATGGCTGTACTAACTTTATGTTGTGCAACTGCCTTTGCAATAGATTCTCCACGTAACCTCTGATGAGAATCGACAAAATTATCAATCAGATCATAGAATTATATCAAAATAGAAAGAGTTTCCAAATATTCTTCCTCGCCTAGAGAATCTTAAATCTGCGTCTGTAGAACTTACGACAAGCTTGACTGCATCATATAAAGACAGCGATTTCGTCGCGACTAATGCTGAGTATTCACCAAGCGAATGTCCTAGTGCATAGGAACAAGCCGAACCAATATCGAAGCCAAATTCCTCCTTAAATAATATGACTTACATGTTAAGTATGAAAATTGTAGATAATACATTACATCATCTCTACGTCAAAAATTGTGTTTACCTCTAACACACGTAGAATAGCCATTGATGTAGTCAAGATAGCTGGTTGGGCATTCTCAGTTAACTTTAGCTTTTCCTTGTAACATGCATTAATATAAGAGATAAATCATTACAAACCAACAATGGTCATCTTAGTAACATAAGAGTCTACCTGCTGTCCCTCAAAAGCTAGCTTTTTAAGGCCACCACCCAAAGCATCATCCGCTTCATCGAACACTTTGCGTGCAGATGCGAAAGTAGCATACAGATCTTTCCCCATTCCAACATATTGTGCCCCTTGGCCTTCATAGAAAAGGATGTAAGCATTATCATAAGATTATGTATAAAATCTGAAATTAAAGTTCAGATCTACGCTCGCTGCACACCAGGAAATACGATTGCGCAGTGTGATTTCTCAATGCCAGCAGTACTCTGAAAAAGCTGATTGGTTAACATAAGGGTTAAAAAAAAAAACCATCGGCATCTCAAAAAGCATTTTTCGTACCATCCATGTTCGAACAGGAGCTTTGCAGAAAGCCGAGCTCATCGAATGGAGATTGTGAGTTGGAATAAATTTGCCAAAACTATTCAAGTTATAAAATTTCATTGCGGACACTAGATCAGAAATCTGCTATGATTTTTTGTACTGTATATCAAAATAATTGTTGAGATATAAGGTCCCTTTTATATTTTTGTGGTTTGAACACAGATAAAACCTGTTTCACAAGATTATCAAACCGAGAAGTCATATGATGCGATTTGTAGTCACGAGAACGAGTTCGTGATAATCAATCTCATCCGTTTAAGGTAAATCGAACTCTTATCACAAAATTGCCGCGTTTGCCATAAGATTATTTTTCTCACGCTCCCTGTCTTAACTTTTACTGTAATTTGATAACCGCACAAAACTTAGTGCGTCATGAAATAACCATTTGTGACACGATCGATGTTACACTATGTTTCGACCGAACTTGGTCGGTCGCTTGAGTCTTGTGATCTGCTACTTATATTTAATGGTCGATCTTTCAATCCTGTCAGAAGAAGAGAGCTTACTTTTGACCGGTACATACAGACGCGTTGTTCTTTGACCCAGATTCCCCCCACTTCCCCCGACTTAATCAGAGACGAATTGTCGAAATGTTAACATTACTATTGATCCTGATACCTATTGTCAGCCAATAGAAAAATTTTTTCTGATTGGCAGGCGAGATTTGAGTAAACTTGATCGTATCAATGGATCCCACCACATCCACTTATTACTTTATCCCTTCTCGCAGTTCGCCCAAAGTTCTCAATGGCTACATTCGGTGTACGTATCTTAACGGTTTCGTAGTTGTGGAAAATGTCGTGGAGACTATTCGTCATGAATAGTTATTTCAGAGACCTGTGAAACAAATGTAAAAACACCTTCACTACTGATTAATTCTGGAGCGTTCACCTTATGAACACTCAACGAGGCAGTAACGTGAAATCAACTATGCGAAGAATAGATATGAACCAATTATTTAACTAGGAACTTGTGACTCTGGAATCATTACATAGCCATAACTTCGTCACTCAATTTGTAGAAACTTTACGGTCAAGCAAATAGCCCTCGCGTTTATGAGGTTCTGCTCACGGCTACATATGCTGGTATTGATGTCAAGCTTATAGAGATTGAGTCAGCGTCAAAGCAAAGCTCAGAATATCAGGCCAAGTTTCCTCATGATAAAGTGAGTGCTGCGCCAATGTACAGAAAAGACCGCAAACCTTTTTTCTGACGCTATTCTTTATTAGCTTCCAACCTTTGAGAGTGATAACGGTGTTGTATTGCATGAATCTGGCGGGATTTCCTTTTATAGTAAGTAAACATAGTCGTGTCGTATGATTTGAATGGTTAAAGATGAAAAAACGTTAAACAAAATCAGTTATCCCTGTCTGAATACTCCATTTGTTGAGCATAATACATTCTGAATGAAATGTCAAAATAATACAAAAATCTCGATTGTCGTGCTGTATTTTAATCTCACTCTCCTTGTATAGTTGCCAGTCAGCAGGAAAACAGCCCTCTACTTGGGAAGAACAAAGCAGAGACGGCTCAAGTTGTCCAGTACCTTCTTTTTGCCAATGTTGAGATTGCTCCTTATGTAAAAACCTGGATTGAACCGATTTTGGGCAAGGCTAGCTATAACAAACCTGTAATGATTTATATCACACTTCTGAAAGACACCTCGTCTTGTAAAGGCACGTCTTCCCATATAATGACTGATTTGTCGCAACTTTATCCAAGGCCCACAATCAAGCGGTTGATAATTTAAAGAAATCATTAACGTCTTTGGAGAAAGTTCTACAAAAGAAGACTTTCTTAGTCGGTGAACGCATAACACTAGCAGATATTGCAGTTTCCAGCGCTCTTTACTCAGCATTCAAGATGGTCTTGGATGTTGAATTTCGTAAAAACTATAAGAACGTCACTCGCTGGTATGTGACACTTATCAACCAACCAAATTTCAAGGTCTTGGCCGATGCTTCTCTCGTCGATGTTGCACAAGTATGGATTCGTAAGTATCATTTCTGTTGGCGTTCCATTTACTGTAACCAGGAGTAATAATAACTCTACGTCAATACGCAGCCCCTAAGAAGGAATCGAAGAAAGACCAGAAGAAGGAGCAGCAACCGAAAAAAGAAAAGGCTAAACCGGCAGAGGATGATGCAGAAGATGATGCGCCCCCCCCTCCTAAACCAAAGAGCAAATTAGATCTGTTGCCTCCTAGTACATTTGTTCTTGATGAATGGAAGCGTTTCTACTCAAATAATAAAACTCGGCCTGACGCAATTGAGTGGTTCTGGAAGCATTTTGACCCAGAGGGTTATTCAATCTGGCGTGTTGACTATAAATACAATGAGGAATTAACCAAGATTTTTATGAGCTCGAATTTGATTGGAGGATTCTATAATCGCTTAGAGCGAGCCCGCAAATATGCCTTTGGAAGCCTGTTGGTATTGGGAGAAGGTAAGCAAAAAATGGCGTGTCATCTTTCAAGACTTTATTGAAGAGAATTCTGACATTGAAGATGCTATATAGACAACAATAGCGAGATCGCAGGATACTTTGTAATTCGTGGTCAAGAAATACCGGAAGAAGGTGAGTGGGCATGAGTACGGATGATTTCCAACATATCACAGATAACTTCAACGTGTTTGCTTTGCAAATTAGTGACGGACGCTGCAGATTTCGAGAGCTACACGTTTGTGAAGGTTGATCCCAAGGATCCCGCTGTTCGCAAGAATTTTGAAGATTTCATTGTGGGTGGAATTTAATTCTTTTAATTGTTCTCTAAATTGGTTAACTATTTGCTGATTTATCTCTGATTGTTGTAACAGGCATGGGACGGTGACTTCAATGGCAAGGCTTTTGGCGACGGCAAAATATTCAAGTAGTTTAATGGTACTGTGATTATGCTATTGCATTACAACCAATAAAGATTTAAAGTTGTTCTGAATGACGGCAAAGTTTGACCTTTGGGCCAGGCTTTCGCCTTTTATTACTGGCTATTCTTTTCTGATACGTCTAAATGGTTGGCGTTAGCAATGAAGTATAAAACCAAAATCATATATGCTTTTTTGTATTCCAAAATCACGATTATCTAAAATTAAAACATAAAGTAACCTCTATATATGGCTCCAATGTTTTGAACACAGCTTGTGTGTATGTTCTTGTGCGTATGTTCTTGTGTGTTTGGACTATCAATCCCACAAAAGTTTATGGATATCACTAAATATTGTTCCACCACAACATCGATCAACGCGACGTCCTCTTAAGACAACTACTTCAAGTGGAGAGAACTCGAAGAACTAGACCTCAGTTGAACAAACGACATAAAATCATCTATACATTTATTGCAGTACATGCACGAAGCGGGTCCTTTTTATACGAAACATTACCAGTGACGATATTATCAATTATTAGACCAGGACCATATTATTTATATTCCTTGGCTTTTATTTTTTCTGTCTATTTTATTCTCTTTAGTGCCTCATTTAATATTATTAATAATAATTAAAGGCTCATAGCGATAGGTAAATTATTGAAGGATCTACGACATCACACACATTCGGTCTCGGTTTATTTACATACAGGTATATTTCAAAAAGACTCTGCATGTAATTGATATTTACAACAGTGTTACAACAAACACTCTCTCTATACAGTCTAGTAAAAAGTAGCTGATAGATAGATAGTTATACATGTATCAATATACAGTTATAAACCCTTCCTCTTGAGAAGACAGTAATCAGCCCAACGTAGACTTGGTGTAAAGTTGAAAAAGTTCATCAGCGTCATAATATAACTATTACTCCAAACCCACGTTGGTACATATAATATTCGACCAAGTTTGCTCGAACGATCCTTGTCTAAAAAGCGATCGCACCTTACCACTGTCCATTTATCCGCCTGTGTTGCGTATCTTGGCTCAAGCGGACTCGTTTTGGTGACATTCAAATCAAGATCAATGAGATAATCGCACTGGCTCTCAAAAAACTATTTATGAGAATATATAGTCATTAATAATGATGTCTTTTATCTCATGTTATAATTACTAATATCAGCATGTACTTACGTATCTACTCATCTCTTCTTTATTTCTATCATTGAATCCAGACCGACTTTTCCATGTTCCGTCGCGTTCGTCATCACTAATCGTGAATTGTCCTTTATCCCTCCTGACACTTTCTAAGAAATATTGAGGCAATTGTCCGCTGAAATCTGATTTCAAAAATCTCAAGCGGACGCCTTCAGGCAGGAAATAATGACTGGGAAATCTATACCATTCTTTCCCAACACACATGTTGATAGGATTGGTGTAAGTGGGCCTTAAGTTCTGCGAATCCAATTGTTGCGGTATTTCTACGCGATAAAAATGCTCATACAATGAGTACGGAGCGTGATAATAATGATAAAGGGCCAATACGCGCGAGAAAGATATTAATCCAGCTATAATAAAAATGGCTACTGTAAAAGCGGTTGTATACATCCTATTAGGTTTCTATGAAGTATAAGCAGAAAACCCATAAGATTACTTGAATGTTGCTAAAATATTAATATAAGTTTTAGATGAAAATCCATACATACTTTGTTCCCTTTACTTCCGGGGAAGATATATACAAATGCCGATGGTAACCAACTTCGCATCAGAAACAATGCTATCGATGCATTTAGAGACACTAGAGGATACGCAACAAATAAGAACCGTTCTTCCTTATGTGGCTGTGATGTGAATATAAGTAGCCAGAGATAGAATGGTGCTAATCGGATAAGAAGAATGACATATGGATACTTGGGATTAGCCGTATCTGATTCAGCTTCTATGCGGCCAAAATCGCGAAAAAACGTTATCGCCTGCAAAGATGCACACATATACTTTGTCAGTTAAGTATTTAATGTTCATTGTACGATAATTGAACAACTTACCAATACGGGTAAACTTCCAAGTGCTAATATGAAAAGAATGTTGAAATTCAAGAAACCGTTCAATAGATAATAATGCCATGGCTCTACACCATATATGTCAGGACCGCGATCTCTGCTACCAAACACATTGTACATAACAATATTCAGTGGGACCACAGTAAACTTTCTGTAGTAATAGTAGTCGACGTAAATGATGAGCGACTAGAGATGGAATAATCAAGAAACGTTAAGCATAAGATTCATTGATGTCCCTAATTCCTAACTTTATACAAATTTAGCGTGCCACTTACCAGAATGCCTGCACTTGCCAGTAAGAATGCACGAGCTAGTCGCTTAATTCTATTCTGTGCCCATACATCATTAAGCTTCCATGTTCTCAATTCGTGTCCACTAATGAATAGCTCTTCTATTACAAAAGGAATGCCTACTGCTGCACTGAATGGCCATGCCAATAATGCTCCAATGCCGAACCAAAAGACAGAATATTTCACCCTCCTGTTTGAGCTTTTCTGTACTGGACGTAGGGCGTATGCGAACGCTAACATTGTCGTATACATGGCAAAAGTAGAAGGAAGGAAGGCTATGAAACTAATGCATTAGTATACCCTCCATGTATAGTTGAACTAAACCGACAATATAATACAAGCATGAAGTGAAATGATTACCAGTAGAGGCATTCCACATGCCAGCAGATACCATCAGCGCCAGAAAGAAGAATTGACCGACGCGTTCACCAAATTGATACTTTACTGTTTTGTACATCATTGATTCACAGTAAGTTCCAACTACTGCGAAAATCACACGCAACGTGTAAAATGTATGGATCTGTTCCCATTTATACGTAGAAACCAGTATCGTCAGTTAACAAATCGATTACGGCCATTGAACCAACGCTCGAAGTAAAAGATCGAATATAAGAATTAATTACCTTGTCGAAGTTGAATAAATATCTGATAGGGAACAATATGATAGCAAGAGTCCAGGAATGAATTCTAATATACGCCCAACTGCGAATAGAAAACTCTGGAGAATATTCCCAAGTCTGCATTCCATAGCCATATTCCATATAATGCAAGGGCTCCCAGTAATTATAAACCTAATTAATGAAAATCTTCTAACTCAACTGTCCAAGTATAATCTTAAAGCACATTCAGGTAATACAACGACAGCTTACTTCGTCACAGTCAGCGATGTTAGAGAACAAGGCAGCAGTCAGCCGGATACAGAACAGAACGATAAATGCAAAGTATGGTAACAAGCGCCATGGGGAATCACTGAATTAGGAAAGGTTAATGGATCAATTCGATTACATTGGAAGACGATATATGTCAAAGAACGATATAATATTTTTTAGGATGGTATATACAGCTAACGTTATCAAACTGAAGAGTACACTACTATTTGTGTGATTGCCTTCCTTGTTGCGGGGGCGTAACAATGCGATTTGTGGCCTTGTCATCTGAACTACTACGTTCAGCTTTACGTGAACGTGCTTTTGTTGGAGATCCCTGTGGCATCATAGAGTCAAAAGTCACTAACTATGGGATCGTTTTCATGTTCAGCGAAGTCCACCATGTGATTATATGACCAACAAGTTGCTTCTGTGTCACCGTTTCGTAAATTGGCATGGCATTGATAGTTCAATTGGAAAACTTCTAGATCTTTTTTGTTTATGAAGAATTGTCATGCCATGTTACATTAACGTTGGTTACGTGAATCAAGCCCACGTCTTCGATCCGATGATTTCGGTAGTTGGTTATTTTCGTTTAAGACTATTACTATTTGAGTTACGTAATTCAATGGACATACCCCACAAAGCAGGTGAATAAAATAACGTATTTACTTTAACGTTGTCTAGTGTATAGTACAGTAACGAATAAAAATAAAAGATAACACAGAAATTTCACAACTCGCACCAAAGATTAAGAAAGAACGAAAGGGTCCCAGTGTCCTATAATCGCGATTTATGCATCTTCCTGTACGCCCATCAGTAATAATTGCAATCCTTCTACGAGACTGTCAGTCGGACATACTTACTTCGCTTTGAATTTGTCTATGAATATAACAGAGATACTCCACATATGACATTGCTCCGTTGTTATCATCTTCAACAAGCAAATTGTTGAATTCTATTTCAGCGGCATCCAATGTATTTCGTACAATCACTAATTGTAAATATTTGTATCGTTGCGTTTGTAGATAGGAAGTTATGAATCTAATCCGTCTAGACATCGTGTTATCAAGTTCAGGTAATGCGGACTAACAATCAAAAAAGATGTTAATATATATTTCTCCAGATTCCAATATATCCCCTTCATGACTTACGAGTCTGGGATCCACAAGGTCGATAGAGTCAACTCCAAATACACCCTGAAGAAATTCTGATGACAATTGTTGGCCAAGCCAGAAATACAAAAATTGGCCATTCTCTGTCGGTGTGATAGTAAGTTCCAGTTATTCAATCGGCTTATAACATCGAGTTGTATAAATATTCTTGGTACTTACCCAATAGATATGCGCCTCCTGCTTCAAGTCTGTCACACGATACTCTTATTAGTGAAGGAAACTTTATTATTTTTCCGTTTTCATCTGGACATCCAGCCTAGTAAACAAACATTTCCAGTCAGTATAGAACCTTCCCAAATGAACCATACCATAAATAACTTACTTCTTCCGGCATATCATGTATCGAAAGCATCTGAGGATACAATAACACTGCGCATTCCGAGACTCCCATGCCCTTTATCATTCTCATTGAATGCACTCTTTCGTCACTCGCGAGAAACCCTAAAATGCCAGATTATCGAATATAGTGAACAATAGAAATCTCAAATGTGCGTCTCTCATATACAAATATACCTGCACGTAGTGCTTTACACTTCAGTATAGTCAGAGTATACAAAGGGAACAGTTTAAATGCCTCTGGTAGTATCAACTGGCCTGGTGAGCTCATAGATGCACAATGCCTACGATAAGCCAGGAGTATCTTTACACATTTATCAGTTAGCTGATCCTGGATTTCTCGTAATGGTTTTGTCACTGTACTTGATACGGCTGAGATACGTAGAGGGACATTACGTTATATCGGACTCTTTTGTATGCTAGACAAATACTAGTATAGCAAACCTTGTTTAGCCAAAAAGCTCACTGTCGTATCCATATTCGCGTATCTAAATACATTGGCAAGTAATGTTGTGACTTGCACACTAATATTGTGCGTTCGAACTCTTCGTTGTCCAGTAACAGTTGTATAAAGTAAGGCACACTGAATGTATGCATCAGCCTTTTCATCAAGCTTGCCATCATACTTGAATAGTGCCCCAAATGCTTTGTCGGCATCTACCCCCGCAAGCTCAACATCAGTCGCATTGCGCATGTTGAAATTACCATAATGGTCAACTATCTTAAGCCCTATGGATAATTGGATCATTATATAAGTCATCATCCTTCAAATTATCATGTGTCTGTACGAAGCATGATTGTTTCCTGTCTTCTATGCGTTTGCCAACAATATGTATGCTTACCGTTAGAACAACGGATTCTCATTAGAGCATTATATCCGAATTCTCTGGTGACATTCTGTCGTAACTCGTATGCAAACTTGGCGCCATCTCTTGATGAATTGAAATTAGGATAATAATAACTCTCACCACCAGTTATTGACGAAAGTAAACCTTGTAATCGAATATTATAGTTGTCAATACATTCGATCGATATAGCAATTTGGATAAATAAAATGTCATCTATTATACCTATAGTAGCAACATCGACATAATTACTGGGAAACAGAAATAAATCAATGCATATTCCCGCATCCACACAATTGATGGCAAGATTCTTGTAAAAAAGATCTTGTGGTCCAAATAGGGTTTTTTCCTTCTCCGTGTTGTACAATTTCGGATCATCTCGATACTTAATTGCTCCAGGACCAAAATTAGGTAAGGTGGTTTGGAATACTATCAGCTTTCCGCCAGTATCGATCTAAGGGATTGCAAACATCAAGTAATGTAACTTATATAAATAGTCACCCAAATTTCGTTAAAAATAATAATACAAACCAGAGCAGCGTAAACTGCTTTGACAGCTGCGCCCAATACTGGCTCAGCAACGTTGGTTTCTGCGAACATTGTGGGCAAAGCTTCTAATAATCCCTCTATCACAGATCTATAAACGAAAAAGTTATGATCTAGAATAAACTGAAAATTGGGAAAAAACACAATCACTCAAAGCTTATCGTTTACTCGACCTCGATTCAACGGGATCGACCAAAAAACCGTCATTTAAGGGTACAAACACATCATTTACGTCCGGAACAACTAGCATTTGAGCTTGCTCAAGACTTGACTAGACGTAACGATAATTGGTGACAATAAACATGCCACATACAATAATAGACAATAATCGTGCAGGATAAAAGACGAACGATAAGCGTAACATAAAGACATCCAACAAGTATATGCAATTTAGCGCTGACTGCCATAATTAATAAGAAAACACATTTTATAGATACCTTCATATTGTAGAAATGAACGTCTTTATCAAACGTCATAATACCAATCCTACCACCTGGTCGTGCGCCGGTTGGTGTACCATAAAGTACTTCGCGAATTGCTTCAACACATTTAGCAAGCATCCCGCTCTTCACAGCGTTGACAGAAACATCTATAGCAAATATGGTTGATAGTGGGCAGGGTGGTCGATTCCAATATTCCTATTGAATTTCGTCAACAAGTTAGTACATGCATTACCTGATAGATCACTTGCGCTCTACCAACCTTGGGTACGACAAATTCGACCGTGCCATGTAGGAGTTCTGGTCGTTGGTTTACATCGACTCGTCGTCCACTGAAGTCCAAATTACCAAAATACTCCGGAGGTACTGTTTTAGCGAATACAAAGCAATTAATTGATAAGCAAAAACACTAGTGTAAATTACACCTATCCGAACCCTACTGCATAAACAACCTTCGTTTGAAAATTGACATATATTACAGACAAATTTCTGTCCACCTTCCACGAAAATTACGAAAGGATTAATATATGACTTGCAACGGCGACATCTAATAGGGCCTTCTTCACCGAAATCAATAACGTCGATTGGAGCCTAACAGAGAGATATATCAGCGATGTTCTGGATGGCCTTTTCTAATATCTTCAGAACTGCTCGGTAAATTGCTTCTCCTCGTTACCTCGTCATATCTCAGCTTGGCTAGCGGCTGAACAATCAAACCTAGTGGCAAATTGGATGTCTTAAGTAATTCTTCTGTCTGAGGAACAGAATACAACGTTAACCTCATAAACCGCGGATTGGTGTTTCCTGCAAATTACTGAAGTCAGTACATGTACTAGTTTCCAAGTAATCACAATTAAGCAACTGTAAGAACCTTCGTCTATTGCCCTGAAATCGGTGCTGGCAAGTGGTACCGTCTTTTTTGATGAAGTTAAATATGGTTCATTAATGAAATCTTGTCGGTCTTGTTCTCGAACGGCTACAGGCGAGGGGACTTGATTAGGGTCAATTCGAGGTTTTTGTGACGCTTGGTTCGGATGTGTAGGACGAGGATACGATCGCGTCGGTTGCATCCCTGGGCCAGTAGAGGGAGCTTGCGGGACCATCGGCCCATATGGCAGAGGCATAGGTTGTTGACCTTGCTGTATGCCTGGTTGTCCAACATTATTTGGTGGTATAGTCGAATAAATGCTAGGGCCAGCTAGTTGTGGATATCCTTGCGTTGGTGCAGTAGTTGAGTAAGCAGAAGGATTAAGATCGTGGTGAATACGACGTGCAGGTTTCTGCTGGGGCCGTGCGTGTTGCTGAAATTTTTAGAAAATAAATGAATATAACAACCAAATTATAAATTAAACATTGAACCAAGCCTACCTCATATTGTAAAGGGTTATGAGCTTCTGTTCTTTGATCAAAGGTGTCTTGACCAGCGGGATTTGACCCGACATCCAACTCGCTCAATTGATTCCCAAGTTTATCGACATGACTACCATCTTGAATGTTTTGGGACTGAATCGCATTGCCTGTTTGTGGTCTAGGGGCATACTGAGGCATAGACGGTGAAGATGATGTAATTGTCGGTACTCCAAAAGGCTGTGGCAACGGCCTCCCTCCCGCATATCCAGGTGGGAAATTACCACCTTGACCGGTTAATTGAGGGGGACGGGTTCCTGTCGCACATAAATAACAAACTTGATTCAGTCGATAAATTCAAAGTCAAACTTGCGAATGGGGGAACTTTAAATAATCGTATATAATCCCCCTTGAAATCTTGGAAGAAAACTTTAATCTGCTGAAGTCAATCCCACATAGTATGGCGACTTCAGTAGTCGATTCCAGCTTCCATCATTACAATCAGTATGAATACTTTCTGTCCTGAATCGACGATCTTAAATAGTTTTGAGAAATATTAACCTTGTGATGGACGGTATATTGGTGCACCAGCTGTCGGAGGAGGACGCTGTCCAGGTGGGAAAGGATGTCTAATGTGCGGAGGCATACCGGCGACCCCTGGTTGAGGTGGAGGTAGACGAGCACCTTGGGCATTATTAGGCAGCCAATTTCCATAGGGCGGTGGTGCTGGGATGCCCGCAACTAGAGGAGTGCCGGGCTGTGTTGTTTGTGCAGGTCTTGGAGATGGTTGTGGGGGTGCCTGCTGGGGAGGCTGTTTAGTGTTTTGAGGTGATGTTGGAGTATACATTATGCTCTTGCGGAAAACTCCCGATCCTGCTATAAACTAGAAAATTGTCGATAATTCATTGGCTAGATACGATCGACTTGTGTGATGCCGCCACGTTATACTAAGCGTTCGTTGTTCCAATACGTGGCATTCGCGCACGCCAATGATCATCGTACAAATATTCCCGACCCTTACTATTTGCTTATAATAACTCACATCAAGCAAATCAGTGAGAATATGCTCACAGGTCTATGATTAATGCTAGGCAATCATAATTCATTTAACACGATTTATAAGGGCATTTACAAGTAAATGTGGTACTCTTATCACTTCTGTGAACTGGTTTACTTTACGCATACAAATAAGAACTTCTAGTTATTCTCCATTCTTTACATAATTGATCAACATCTTTATCAAAGATATGAATTTTCTGATATACAGAATTAATGAAATCGGTTCTTACAAGTTGGTGCTTACAGGGCATTAAGGTAAAAGAAAAAAAAATACAAATGAAAACATGAAATGAAAAAAATTTCCATAAAGGCCGAACTCGGTAGTCCGAATGTCTGTCAAAATAAGTGGAATGATTATACATTTTCCTCAGGCGTTGTGCGAACAACAGACTCCATTCTCCTAACTCGAATATAGTCAGAAACGCTTCGAATGACAATAAACCATCCCAAGAACATGAGAACGTAGCTACGAAAGTAAAGGATTATTTAAATAGGATTTCTCACTATAATGAACAGCAAAACCATAATACTAACCTGAGCCATGTATTTCGTGCGATCACATCATCATCTTCAGAAATATCATCTTCAGAGTATGAATATGGAGTGTAATCATCTTGTAAGACCCTTCCTCGAAGATAAAATCCATATTGAACCAAAGTAATACCCAAGCCAGCTCGGGAGCCATTCTGAGTAAAGAAAATGAATTCAATATATAACTCAACTCACAATAAGTGCAAAAAAAGTTTCGTGAATATTAATACCTTGGCAGCGTGACTGGTGTGCAAAAGATAGGTGAGTAAAAATCCAACAAACTGGAAGCTCATTGAAACTAAAAATAATAGACCGTTAGTAAGATCGTGCATTATAAGCAGTATTATAACATTAATCCCAAAAGCTGTACCAACCAAGCATGTTCCACACAAACGCAAAGAAGTTCCCAACTGGAAGACCCTCTACAAATACTTCATCTCCATTTACTCCCGGAGTAATAACAGTCGTCTCCCAGTAAGGTGGCGCCGCATCTGCAGCTGCCGCTTCATACGGCTGTTTAATTTGGATGAAAGAAGTGATAACAGAGATGTAGGTACAATCCGAATATTGCAACACAAACTGTTTGTCTGTATATCGAAATTGCTGTGCTCACGCAACCTACCGGTGGATTTTCATCCTCTTTCTCAGTCTCTGATTCGGGTTTTGCTGACAAGTTTGAAAACACACCATCGGTACTGGATGGTACAGCAGCCTGAGCATTGGCGATTGTCCTCCTTATTCTACTTAACATTGGAAATCCTGAAATGATACTATTCGTATTCTTATAAGTACTTTGAGATACGGGTTGTTCTTCTATAGCTTGGTTGACCATTGGAGTAGTTTCGGTCGTGGAGGCTATCTCCTCTTCGGTTTCAAGTTGTGTAGGTGGCGCAGGCATAGGACTGCTAGAGCGGGAAGTAGATGCCTCTTCAGAACTAGGAGGGACTTGAAGAGCAACTACTTGGACATCTTCTTCTTTCTCCTCCGAATTAGGAATCTAACAATAGGCATAGTCAGGCAACCGCAACGGCGCATGTTAAGCCACCAACATACAATTCTTAGACATACCCTTGAATATTGACTCATATCGTCAAGACTTCTGCTAGAATGTGTAATAATAACAAATGTCTTAGACCAGGAAATAGAAGAAAGGTTTGTTGGTTTTCTATTTCAAGAAAGGAGTGCGAGTAGTAATAATATGATGTTTTGTAAAGCTATTTATTTATGTTAAGCTGAGGAGATTGGCACTTATATGCAAATGTGGCACAAGGAGGAATATTATTACAAATTGCTGTTTCTATTAATAACTGCCATCGTAATTAGTTATTGGCTGTAATAACCACAGACTTTCTTCAATCTACCATCCAATAAGTAGGCGGTATCTTTCGCTACATTATCAATCAGAATTTGAGCAAGATTTTTTACTTAAGAGATATCTTCTTCCGATGCTACGAGATCACCTCTACCACTTTACGGACAGAGTTTCAATATATCCTAATGAACCGGATTTTACAAGACTGTTTTTTAAGTATTTAGTTTGGGCGTGTTCTTTATACTTGGGTTTTATTCATTACATATCAATATTGGCTAATTCTAATTTCTTATGCCATGCTGGACTAAACTCGTTTGACGCTCTCTGACCATTTCAGTTTAATTTTAGATTTACTATTACTCTCATTTCTCCCGTGTTTAAAATGGCCGACCTCAAGTCAGTCGTAGATTAAACGATAGTTAAATTTATTTAGTAGGCTTTTTCCAATTTGGAAACACATGAATCATTGCAGATAATATAATACATTTATATACGTTTCTTATTGTATGACTTTTCAATAAAAAAAATAACGGATGCTGTTTTCTCTACGCTACACGGGAGAAAGTTCTTTAAGTATCAGCTGATTTTGCAGCCGCTAAGTTGAATTACGTATCACAAATAATATTTCATTATCACCTTTCCAAAATTGTAAAACTGAATATTAGATGGGCGCAGCGTCGGTTTTTGATTTCGGATGCTCTACATAACCGGATGGATTGAATCGATCAAAAATAGTCAACTATAATCAATCAATTGGCGTAGCTATGTTACATAACTAAGGCTC